ATTTCTCAAAACTCAACCAGGTGTGATGGTCAGGTTTCTGCAAACAAATGTACACAAATGAGAACCCTCTTTAAAACATTACAAACAGAATTAAATCTCTTTTGCCGTCTGGGACAAACAGTTGTGAAAGAATCTAGAAACCAAACGACACAAGTCCAACAGCACAAGAAGGCTGAAATACAGTTGGTAATATTTTTTGCATTAGCAGAAAAAGTGGTTTTTAAAATGCTTCTCCTTGACCGCACGGCAATTTTGTACTGAGTGTACGCCAAGCCACGCATGTTCAGCTCCGTGTACATTCTCTGCATGCCTTGGGTAGCGGGGGGGGAATTAACACCTGACCGCATGCAGGAGGGTGTCAAGGTCCTACCTTTCTTCAGAGCTTGTGCATCTCCATGAGCTGGCATCCTTCTTGGATCTCTGCAAAGCATGGTGGGAACCTTTATGCCTTCAGGCTTCTGCGGCTCCTCCTCAGAAGGGTATGGTTGAGCACATTTAAACCTGCTGTCTTCAAGTGTGCTCTGCACTTGTGTCCTGTATGTTGCCCTGTTGCAAGCTCTTGTGTTGTTCCCATTGCTCTCTCCTGGTAACCGACTCGGCTTGGACAAGACTACTCTCTGCGTTAACCCTTTACCTGACCTCCCGTTGCTGAACCCGGCCCGTGACCTGAGTATTCTTTGCCTACCGTCTAGTACCGTCTGCTCCATTGTTATTGACCCGGCCTGTCTGACTACTCTACTCGTGTTCCCATCTAGCTCCCACCAGCTGTACGCCATTGGTGGCAGTCGTTATCGCAGCTGGGGTCACTCGGGGGCCGCGACCTGGTCTCAGGCTGCGTCAAGTCCATCCCCACCATCAGGGGCCCTGGTGAAGGGTAGCCTGGGGCTTAGACTCCGCGCCCTGAGGGACTCTGGTCTGTGGGTAGTGGCTGTCGTCAGTCGCAGCGTGACCGTACCATAGGCCTGCCTGCCCATTCCAGCGTTCCTGCCCTGACAGAGGGTTACATCACCCTGGGCCAGCCGTTGTCAGCAGCAACAAAGAAGCATCAAATGGGATCATGGAGGTCACATTGTTGGAGTGGTCACTCTGGTAGGCAAGTGTGCCATAATGCTGTGCATACAAGGTCACATATAAAAAATATACATATTTACTCACACACTTACATATACACACAGATGTTAGTTACTCAAAAGAGACAATCATAATGTGCATCTCCTACAATGACAAGTCATTTGGTAATGATTTACAATAGAGAAAAGGAAAAAACCCACATTTGCCATGTGAACAATTTGCTAACACATTACAGAAATTATTCGGAAATCACCACAACATTTTTGGATGAAGAACAGAAAACGTATACATCCCAGCAGAATTTCGCAATCACAGCATCCCTCCACAAAGGAGACATCAAATTCTCTGTTTAAATTTTTATACATTTAGAGAGAGTCTAATTCTACCAAGCATATTACCAGCAATCTGTGACAAATAAGCTGGAAGGAGAATTTGCCCAAACAAATACTGAGTGCGCCCAAAGCGGTCTGATGCCGTCTTATTCTCTCCGTCCCTACGGTCAGAGAATTGCAAGACAGAAGAAGCTATTTAACACAATGGCTTCCATTACACACTGTTCCCAAACCAGATGTCACCTTAAAATACCTTTAAGGGGCACAAATAAAAAGCTGTCCTCAGTGACACAATATGGAGTGCACAACTTTATAGTACATTGTCCTTCAACCACAAAGGAGCTAAGAAAAATGGGCTAGATAAAACTGATGTAACTGAATAAAAATGAGAAAAAAAAATAGTCCTTGTCGAACTTTTTAAGACAACGAATAAAAGCTAATGGAAAAACACAACTTTAAACGGTATTAGGCTTCATGCGCACTGGCTTGAAAAAACAAAAATGCTGCTTCTGCAGGAGTTATGTGTTTTGCCTGTAGAAGCAGCTCAGTGTTATCCTATGAGTCCATGCACATTAGGGTGTTTTCAGGCATATAATAAGCAAAGCGTCTAGAGGCATAAAACACCTGGTTTGAGTTTTTTATTGGAGATTTCTAGCAGAAAAAAAAATGCTAAATACTCCTAAACACACCTAAGCATTGTCTAAAAATATAGTAGAGGGTTTTTTTCTGCCAAGGGAACTGGCGTTTCTTTTTGGAGCCTTAAAGGAGAAGTTCACCTGTTCTAAAGTTACACCCATATTCAGGATGTAACATGTTAGTGCTGCAGATGCCCACCTGAGTCTCTCCTGTGACAGCAGACAGGGGATCTTCTCCCCATGGCTTCTGTCACAATTCAAAAAAAAGACACGGCCGTGCAGGGCTCTGCCCACCCTGCCGCATCATTCATTCACAGAATTCTGTAAATGAAAAACTTCCTTTGCGGCTGTCTGCTTGTAGTTCTCAATGAACTACCATGGCGTGTTGAGCGCTGTGGTAGTTTATTCTCTCTACCTGTCTGTGTATATCTGCCTGCTTATATGAGCACACAGATATAAAGACTGGTCTGCAGGGGTACTGCATGGCACCCGCAATTTGCTGATGAATGCTTTCTAGTCTACATTATGTGAAGCAAGATATCATGTCGAAACACCAGTACCCAGAGCGGCGGTGAGAGATGTAAGTTCGAGTGGTTGTCTTTATGTTTACATGTGTCGATTTTACGTGATTTCACGGTGCTGCTACTTGTTGGTTTACAAAAAAATACTACACTATATGGCGTCTTATTCTGGTTGCCTTGTGGTGGTGTTTAACTGTGAGAACAAAACAGTGCCCCTATGGATAAGTTGTAGGAGAATAGTAAAGCTGTCGGAAGAGAAGATTGATGCCTGCACTTAATTTGCTTTTATACACTTTCTGCTTCATATCTTATAAAGCAGCACACATTGGCGGTGAGTGCGCATTCTATGTGGGTGGTGCTGTTTTGATTTAATCACTGAGTGTCACTTATGCATGGGTGTTAAAGTTATTTCATTTTATTTAGGAGCACAATATAGTTTTAGATTTGTTTTGGTATCACACTCATACAAGCCTTACAAGAGAAGTGTCGGTTTCTATTCTTTCCCCCAGTTATACTTTCCTAGGTGAACGCAGCATCTGTCCGATGGCTCGAAGTGTGAGAACTCAGTGATCACATGATGGCTGATCGCCAAGTTCTCAAAGCCCCTCTGAGCAGACAGTGGTGACTATCAGTCACCACTGTCTGCTCAGCCCCTCGCTGGAGCACTGGGCTGGGGCAGGGGAGGGAGCAGCTGGCACAGGCTGGACCAGCTGAGTGGCGTCAGCTGACAGCGGGCTTCAGCCCGCCGTCATCTGAAAACGGGTCACAGGAGTGCAAAACAAACTGCACTCCTGTGATCGAAAGGAGAAGTATAGACAAAACAGCTTTGGCTGTACTTCTCCTTTAAGTCGCTAAGAAGGAATGAATGGAGCAGGAACAGATGGGTGACCTCATGATGATTGTCTGATGCGCTCATACTGCACTTTATATCAGGGCAGCATATATTTTGTGGCGAGTCAGCAATTCTTCTGACTATCATTGGAGGATATTTCCGCTTTAAATTGGAGGATATTAAGAACATCAATTTATGCACCAAATAGAAGAATTATGAATGGAGTTTGATAAGGAGGAATTTATGCTAATTTATTGGAATCATCATTCATCGAATATTAATGTGACTTTATAGCGCTGCATTTTATTTATAGTACACTCACTTCTCCACTGTATATATGGAGGCAGCCATGACTGTAACACAGGCTGAACGTCAAACATGTCTGACTTTGTTTATCTCCATTACAATGTAATAATAGGTAGTAGTTTACATGAGAAAGGAAACATTGTTTTTGCTTTTATTCAGAAAGGAAACAGGGACAGGACTGGGGCATTTCTGACAAGATCAAGTATTTTCTATATTTGCTTTTAAAAATGTTCATACACTATATTGCCAAAAGTATTGGGATGCCTCCCTTTACACACACATGATTTTTAATGGCATCCCAGTCTAGGGTTCAATGTTGAGTTGGCCCACCCTTTGCAGCTATAACAGCTTCAACTCTTCTGGGAAGGCTGTCCACAAGGTTTAGGAGAAATTCACTTCTTACAGAAGTGCATTTGTGAGGTCAGGCACTGATGTCGGATGAGAAGGCCTGGTTCACAGTCTCTGCTCTAATTCATCCCAAAGGTGTTCTATGGGGTTGAAGTCAGGACTCTGTGCAGGCCAGTCAAGTTCCTCCACCCCAAACTCGCTCCTCCATGTCTTTATGGACCTTGCTTTGTGCACTGGTGTGCAGTCATGATAGAACAGGAAGGGGCCATCCCCAAACTGTTCCCACAAAGTTGGGAGCAGGAAATTGTCCAAAATGTCTTGGTATGCTGACGCTTTAAGGGCTCCCTTCACTGGAATTAAGGGGCCAAGCCCAACCCCTGAAAAACAAACAACCCCACACACCATAATCCCCCCCTCCACCAATCTTTACACTTGGCACAATGCAGCCAGGCAAGTAATGTTCTCCTGGTAATTGCCAAACCCAGATATGTCCATCGGATTGTCAGACAGAGAAGTGTGATTGGTCACTCCAGAGAACACGTCTCCACTGCTCTAGAGTCCAGTGGCGGTGTGCTTTACACCACTGCATCTGACGCTTTGCATTGCACTTGGTGATGTAAGGCTTGGCTGCAGCTGCTCGGCCATGGAAACCAATTCCATGAAGCTCTCTGCACACTGTTGTTCTGCTAATCTGAAGGACACATGAGGTTTGGAGGTCTTTAGCTATTGACTCTGTTGGCGACTTCTGCGCTGACCCCACTCTGTCATTTTACGTTGCCTACCACTTGGTGGCTGAGTTGCTGTTGTTCCCAGTTGCTTCCACTTTGTAAAAATACCACTAACAGTTGACCGTGGAATATTTAGTAGCAAGGAATTTCACGGATGGACTTATTACACAAGTGCAACCTATCACGGTACAATGCTTGAATTCACTGAGCTCCCGACAGAGACCCATTCTTTCACAAATGGTTGTAGAAGCAGTCTGCATGCCGAGGTGCTTGATTTTATACACCTGTGGCCATTAAGGTGGTTGGAACACCAAAATCCAGTGATTTGGAGGGGTGTCCAAATACTTTTGGCAATATAGTGTATGTTTTAGGGTCTTTAAAGTTATATTTAATAATTCCAGCAGCTCCACATTTCAAACTCATATCCTCTACTTCTACACCAAGGGGTTTTTTTCCCCCGACAAGAAGCTCCAGCCTACCATATAAGATCTTGTACAATCATAGATAAATAACTGATCCAGTTGCTTAAAGCTGAAGGTTAAAAAAAAAAAAAAAAAAAAAAACACAAAATCACATCACAAGGCGGAAAGGGCGGGCATAGTTGGCATTTAATCAGTGAAAGAAGAGCACCGCAGCAGAGGTATGGGTATCCTGGGGCAAAGGACTGTAGACATTAACCTAACACATCAGCCACCAGCATACCCGATCTTGTCTATATTACCATCTCACACTCTCCTGGAAAAAGGGCAGCGAGGCCAGCTGGTGTGTTCGGGCTGTGGTGGCTTTCCTGAAGGACCCAGCGTCGATACAGTACAGACAGACCGAGTGCTGGGGGGGGGGGGGGGGTGGGGGGGGTGTGGGGGGGGGGGGGGGGGGGGTGTGCTGTGGTGGTCAGAGGGATGTGGCTTATGGGAGGAGATGGAGCTGAATTCAGTCCTTGAATCTGTGTTAATCTGGTTGACATGAACAGTGTTTTCTACATTTAGGTTCTACAAGGCTTGCAATGAAAGAAACGTGGTCACTCCTATTATTTGCACTATGTGCAATGTATAATATGCTGGATGTACAATATATTCATTAAAATGGAGGACAGGTCACCATTTGGCTATGCAGTAAATTCAGATGTAAAGAATCCCTCCAATATCTAGAATATTTTTTTTCACCTGGCATATTAGCATTTTATCTTCTTTCTAGTTTCAAATTATAGAAAGAATAATAGCGAAGTCAAAGAGAGGAGATTCTGTAGATCGGCTTGTGGCATGAGAGACTTATTGAACATTCTAATTGGATACAAGAATGCTGAAGGGCCTATATTTTAGATGGGACATAAATTTATCAATTCACTTTGAGACTCTCTTGTGGTTCTGTTGGGTTGTAATATAAGGTTGTTATAGCTTCTCCCCAGGGTTGCAACATCGGTCATTAATTATAATTGCAAGTAATTCTACTATAGTCTGTAGCAACAAGTTGTTGATTGTGGTTCTTAACACAATCTTTGTTCCTAGTCATTAGATAAATGTAATATTTAATTTCATACAAATAATGTTTTGAGAGTCTGTTGCAAACTCTCTCATCTGGAGATCTTCCCAGTAACAGCATTCCTGTTGCAGGCTACCAACATTCAGCCCCCGCCTCACACAATTAGCAGTGCGCTCAGCTTACAGTGGGCACTTCCAAAAACAGGACAAAACCCTCCTATCTTCCTGTCCGCAAAGATAGTGCCATTTTGGCTTCTATTCAATTTGCAGTTGTCATGGTGCTGCACATGTGATTGGCTGGGACAGGAGCCATTGGAGGGCTTGAAAACTGACCTAAGCACACTGGCATATGTGCAGTATTCAACAGAAAATGTAAATGTAAACAATGCAGAACAACTTTGGTATATTTGTTTATAAACAGCGTTTATTGAATATTTGTTTTGCGAGACCGTTAAATTTGTGGTGTTTGCTCTGCATTAGGGATCCCATGTTGGTCAATGAGAGCTGTCTTAATTCGCACTACTGAAGTCACTTCACCTTTAGAAAAGATTCCTGTACAACATCAAGGCAACTCCTCTCCAACTTGTGCTCATAGACTTTAATGGAAGTTGCCTCCAAGTCAGATCCCCAACTATATTGATGTAATTTGGATCTGACATTACATTCTCATTGGCCACAGGCAAAGTAACATGCCATGAAGGTCAAAGTAGTACTAAAACCGCATCAAGTCACCAGCGAATCGCCAGGAAGTTGACTGGCAAAGTTGCACCATAAGTCGCAGTAGTGTGAACCAAGCCTTAAATTGATCGTTCAGCTGCCTAATAGACCCAATAGGCAGCCCATTGGCTAAACATTGTCAGCCTGCAACAGGAAGTGCTGTTACGCAGATGTCAAGTAAGAAACTTTGTAAAAGATTCACAGAAATTGATCTTAAGAAAATAATTTACAGTAGGACAATATCAAACAAATATTTAGGGTTTACTCACGGAATAATAATAATACCACCAGAATGGTTTGTGGGAACCTACTGGGAGCTTAAAAATGCATTAATTAAAATTCAGCACAGAACATACTCTGCCTCCTATTTTGGATCCTAAACTGATCCTGTCCAGCTCATGGCCTGTGCAGTTTCATCCTCATAATTCCCTATCAGCTTTTACAGGATAGATGCAACATGGAAGATAATTTAACCAATAGAAGTTCACTTAACAGAGGGCAATTACATTGTATGACTGTAATACACAATCCAGCATGTGCAGCAATTACAAGTTTCCTAAAGGGGAGAGGAGGTGGTAATTATATGCTAACAATTGATGTTCCCTCCATTTTGGATCTCCAAATAACATGCCAGATTGTTTGAGGTCATACTACCCACCCAGATGGGAATGTTTATCACATACCAACCCCACCAGATTGATTCAACATCTGAGCTTTTCAAGTGAGCGTTAAATAATGAGCTTAAAAAAAAGTTACAATATGAACATATGATGCACATCCAGCCTCAGTCCCTTCAGTTGTAATAAAGACATCTGTGATGAAGCATGCACTGTGCAATAGGTTTAGTCACAGGAGACTGGCTTATTTACCGGTCACACAACACTGTGCTGTTTTAAATTGTAGTTAAATTAATTAATGTGGTATTAAAACAATAACTGTAATATATTCAGGTTTACCAATTCCTAAATGCAGCAGCTGCATTCGTTTTCCTTCTTTTAGCCTTTTTCCTTTTATTTACACCCCACGATCCAAAAAGTAACAGACTTCCTATCTTAACCACTTGCCCTCCTGAGGATTTACCCCCCTTCATGACCAGGCCATTTTTTGCGTTATGGCGCTATGTTACTTTAACTGACAATTTGCGCGGGTCATGCAATGCTGCACCCAAATTAAATTTATGTCCATTTTTCCCCACAAATTGAGCTTTCTTTCAATGGTATTTGATCTCCTGTGCGTTTTTATTTTTTGCGCTATAAGCAACAATTTTGAGGAAAAAAAAACAATATTTGTGTGTAAATTAATTGGTTAACGTGAAAATTATAGCGTTTACAAATGGCGGTATAGAGAACAGGATTTTTTTTCTAATAGTAATGGCAGCGATTAGCGAATTTTAGCGGGACTGCGGCACACATTCTGATACTGGGGGGAACTAACTTGGTGTCACCGACACCCCAGTGACACCAATACAGTGATCAGTGCTAAACAAACAAAAAAAAAAAAGCACTCACTGACACTGGGCAGGAAGGGGTTAATGTGAGGGGTGATCAAAGGGTTAACTGTGTGCTGGGACTGTTTTACTAGGGGGCAGGGGGGGTGTGTGCTTCACTGTAAGCACACTGACCGGGATGGCTGTACTGTGCACAGCCATCCTGAGCAGTGTGCTCGAGCTGATAGGGAGGAAGATTGTTTGTAAACAAAACAATCTTCCTCCCTGTCAGAGATGCTTGGTAATCACCAGCCAGGACCCGGTGATTGACAGCGGCGGCGGCTAATGGTGGCTCGCGCGCGCCCCCTACCCAGAAATGCAGAATAAACACACACATACAATTTTTATATATATATACACACACATACACACACACACAACACACACGTGACACAAACACACACGTGATCCTGAGCACAGGTGCCGTCCTGTAGCAGTATATCTGCTATAGGGCAGTCCTAAAGCGGTAAAAGGATAAGTTCACCTTTTAGTAAAAAATAATAAATGCACATTTTTTTGCAAGCAAACAAAATGCGCATTTATTATTTTTGTCTGCAGGAGCCTGTAAAGCATTGCACCAACTGGTGTCATGCAGGTCTCCTGCAGATCTGTCAGAATATCTGCTAGCTCGTATGGGATGCATACATACTGACAGGAAGAGTCAATGAACTAAAAAAGCACTGACACTGTACTAATGACACTGGGCAGGAAGGGGTTAACATGAGGGGCGATCAAAGGATCACATACACATATATATATATATATATATATATATATACACACCCACATACATACATACAAAAAATAAAACACACACACACACACACACACACACACACGTTCATGAGGGAAATAAGTATTTGATCCCCTTCACAAAACATGACTTAGTACTTGGTGGCAAATCCCTTGTTGGCAATCACAGAGGTCAGACGTTTCCTGTCGTTGGCCACCAGATTTGCACACATCTCAGGAGGGATTTTGGCCCAATCCTCTTGGCAGATCCTCTCCAAGTCATTAAGGTTTGGTTGCTGACGTTTGGCAACTCGAACTTTCAGCACCCTCTACAGATTTTCAATCGGATTATGGTCTGGAGACTGGCTAGGCCACTCCAGGACCTTAATGTGCTTCTTCTTGAGTAACTCCTTTGTTGTCTTGGCCGTGTGTTTTGAGTCATTGTCATACTGGAACACCCATCCACGACCCATTTTCAATGCCCTGGGTGAGGGAAGAATGTTCTCACCCAAGATTTGATGGTACATTGCCCTGTCCATCGTCCCTTTGATGCGGTGCAGTTGTCCTGTCCCCTTAGCAGAAAAACACCTCCAAAGCAGAATGTTTCCACCACCACCGTGTTTGACAGTTGGGATGGTGTCCTTGGGGTCATAGGCCGCATTCCTCCTCCTCCAAACATGGCGAGTTAAGTTGATGCCAAAGAGCTCGATTTTGGTCTCATCTGACCACAACACTTTCAACTAGTCCTTCAGTGGCAAACTCCAGACAGGCCTGGACATGTGCTTTCTTGAGCAGAGAGACCTTGCGGGTACTGCAGGATTTCAATCCTTGTCGGTATAGTGTGTTACCAATTGTTTTCTTGGTGACTGTGGTCCCAGCTGCCTGGAGACCATTGACAAGAGCCTCACGTGCAGTTCTGGGATGATTCCTTACTGTTCTCATGCACACTTTGACACTCCACAAGGTGAGATCTTGCATGGTGCACCAGACCTAGGGAGACTGACAGTTGTTTTTGTGTTTCTTCCATTTGTGAATGATTGCACCAGCTGTTGTCACCTTCTCACCAAGCTGCTTGGCGATAGTTTGGTAGTCCAGTCCAGCCTTGTGTAGGTCTACAATCTTGTCCCGGACAATCTTGTCCCGGACATCCTTGGACAGCTCTTTGGTCTTTGCCATGGTTGAATCTGAGTTTGGAATCTGATTGATTGCTCCTGTGGACAGGTGTCTTTTATACAGGTACCAAAATGAGATTAGCAGAACTCCCTTTAAGAGACTGCTTCTAATCCCAGCTTGTTATCTATATGAAAAGACACCTGGTAGCCAGAAATCCTGCTGAATGATAGAGGATCAAATACTTATTTCCCTCATGAGCATGCCAATCAGTGCATAATTTGTTAGACATGCATTTCTTTTGAATTTGTTGTTACTATTTTGTCTCTCAGTGTTACAATACACCTACCATTCGATTTTTAGACTGATCATTTCTTTGTGAGTGGGCAAACATTCAAAATCAACAGGGGATCAAATACTTATTTCCTTCAATATATTATGTGTGTGTGTGTATATAAATAAATATATATATATATATATATATATATATATATATATATATATATATATATATACATAGCGGGGGGGCGGGGGGGGGGTACACATACATACATATACATACATACACACACACATACACATATACACACACACACACACACACACACACACATACACACACACACACACAGACGTGATTTTGCGCACCCGTGCTGCCCTGTAGCAGTGGACAGGACGGACAGGAAGCGTTTAATCTAAATCTGCTAGTCTAATAAGTATTTACAACAACTTTTTTTTCCCCTTTAGGGATAAATGTTTTTCATATATAAACGGTGACTGTTGTAAGCATCCCCCTGTCAGTGTTACATTATTCGTCTCAAATTGCTGCCTGCGACTTTTATTAAAATAAGTAAATATAAAATAATGCGCCAACCATATCGAATGTTTTGGTTTTAATATCACCTTAAGTGCCAATAGAGGTAAATAGGATTCTATGTAGAGTAGCATTCGCAAAACTACATCCTGCCTGTTGGTTGCAGCCCGCTGGTTGCCGTGAACAGGCCTTTGCAACAATCACCAATGTAAGGGCCGGTTTACACCACAGAAACACTGTTGCGTTACTGCAAGCATGTTTTTCATGTGTTCCGTTGCAATTTTCCCCTTCTTTTTTTCTTCATTCTTAAATTGTTACTAAACCCAGGACCCTGCATTCACTATATCCAGTCTTCCACAGTACACAGGAGATGGAAATGCAATTATTTTAGTATATATAAAAACTGTTAGATATATTTTCTCATCAGCAGTATATACCAGTTTTGCGACTTCTATCAGTATCTGGCTGAGAACTGGTTAAAGTTTGTAAGAAGAATTTTCATTCTCCTCTGACTGTCCTATGAGGCTGCATAACCCCTGACCCTCTGTCTGGACAGCACGGATTGGCTCTATGCTGATCACATACACCCTCTCTAGCAATACACACCAAACAGAGCATGAGCAGACTTGCCACTGCTACTCTAAATATTACAGATTGATAGGGGACAGTAGAAGAAGGGGAGGATCACAGAAGACTGGATCAAACAGCCTTTTTACGCACTGCAGAGGATTAACCCCTTAGATTCCACAGTGAGTATAACAAACATGCTTCACTGCAGATACAGACCGATTTTACTGTTGTGGGTTTAGCAACACTTTAATAGGGACATGTGCATTCCAGTGTGTTTTTGATGTAGTCCAGTAAAAGGTCTGTGCACAAAAAATGCTGCATGTTCCTTTTTTTTTTCTTCACTGGAACTCAGTGGAACAGACTGCACTGGTGTGAACCATACCATTGTAACCCATATAAGATGCTGTGCATGCATTTTTGATGCAGGAAAAAAATGCACTGGATTGCAAATGGTTTGAAGCAGTCCTAAGGGCATTTATATTCCTACTGACCTCCCAAGGGTGGAGAACTGAACTTTTGTTTAAAATGTTTAGGAACTCCTTCTGTAAAGTATGCAAAACATGACATGCAACATTTTAAATATACAAAATGTAACCATCTTTGAAGTACACTTTCTAACAACAAGCACAAATATTTAACTGTATTTATAGTCTTTTTTGCAGCCTCTGCACTGTTGGAAAAATTTGTCTTCACTTCCGGTATCAGGGACAAACTAGGAACAGAGTGAAAATCTCTCCTAGGGAGGAATAACCCCCCCCCCCCCCCCCCCTTAGACATTTACGAGCAAAGCTGTTGTGCCCATTAAATATTTACCCTCACCTATTTTGGTGACAACTGTAAAATTGTTAATTATCGTTACTTTCTGTACTAATAAAACCATGACTGCAGAAACAAAAAAAGGGAAGAGAAGGCCTTATTAGTGGGAATACAGACAGCAATAAAAAGGTAACAGAGGTTTCAGCATACAAAACATTTGTCCCAGGTGTCTTCAGATCCACAAATCCTCAACAGCCCTTTCTTTCTCTGGAGGTGGGGCATCCTGAAGGTTGCAGAGTTATACCACAGCATGACATGGCGCCACTCTCTGCAGCATATACCTTTGAGATTGGGGAAGGGGGAGGGGGGGGGAAGGGTCAGGGAGATGTAGTCTTGATGCCCTGGTCACATAGCAAGTGGGTTGAATGATGCTGGGTGTCATTTAAGGTGATTATAAAGCCTTGCCTATACCCAGTGAAATGACTGGCCTCAGGCGATACACAGAGATTAAACAAATTCTCCTACATAAGTGTACCTGTTTATCTGCAGTCTTCTCTTCGCTACATTCATTAAAAGAGCTGACTTGATAAAGCTTGTAGAGCTGTCTAACACACATTATAGGCAAACTTAGAAGTACACAACAAAACACATCATTTTACTGCTCTCAAGTATGCGGATACCACGTGTCACTTTTTCACAGCCTAGTCACAGAGAGAGACCCAAAATCCAAGCAGCACCTTCTGGAGTTTTAGGGAGTTCTAGGGGCAAAAATTACACATCTAATTTACTGGATGCCTATCACATTTCGGGAGGCCCTGGAGCATCAAGACAGTAGAAACACCCACAAAATGAGCACATTTTGAAAAGCCAATACCCCAGGGTATTTTTAAGAAGCAGCCATGCAAAGCAGTGTGCTTACAATGAAGCATTAACACACAGCCCTAGCAAAACAGCACACAGCTAACCCTTTGATCGCCCCTCAGGTTAACCCTTCCTAGTGCCGTTAGTACAGTGTCAGTGCTTTTTTATTAGCACTGATCACTGTATTGGTGTCACTGGGGATGACAGTGACACCAAGTCAGTTCCCCCCCAGTGTCAGAATGCCCGCCGCAGTCCCGCTATAATTTATACGTATTGGGATTTTTTTTCAGGAAAGACATAGCAGAATACATTTTAGCCTAAATGTATGACAAAATTAGATTTTTTAAATATTTTTACTGGACATGTTTAATAGTAAAAAATATAGTTTTTTTTCTTCAAAATTGTCGGTCATTTTCTTTTTTTTATGACGCAAATAATAAAATCACACAGGTGATCAAATACCACAGAAAGAAAGCTCAATTCATGGGAAAAAAAAAACTTAAATTTAATTTGAGTACAGCGTTGCATGATTGCGTTATTGTCAGTTAAAGTAATGCAGCACCGTAATGCAAAAAACGGCCTGGTCAGGAAGGGGGGTAAATCCTCTGGAGGATGGTTAAGAGGCATGGCAATTCGTGTTTTGAAAGAAAATGAATCTTTGTCAGTGTATATGTATATATATATATATATATATATATATATATATATATATATTTTTTTTTTTTTTTTTTTTCTTTAACACACATTGTGTCTTAAGGAGATAGATCTCCTCTTACAATGAGTGGAAATCAATGTTTCAGACATATTCGTTCTGCACATTTTGGGAGTGGAAAACTGGAAAGCAGACTTTCTAAGTTGACAGGAGTGTACACTGGAAGAATGGTCACTATACTTAGAGATGTTCAGGGAGATATGTCATTGCTGGGAGACTCCAGAAGTAGACCTCCTAGAGTGAAGGTTCAGCAAGAGACTGGACACCTTTATGTCCAAAACAAGGGATGCTCAAGAGTTAGCAGCAAACGTTCTGGTGACTCCATGAGATCAATTCCATCCAACTTATACACCCCTCCCCCCTTCCCCACTCCAGTTGTTACCATGTCTGCTTTGCAGGAATGAGGTGGAAAGGGCTCAGCGATTCTGGTAGCCCAATTCCCCAAGGGCTTGGTTCTCTGACATTCTTTGCATCTTAGCGGAAACACTCTGCCCTCTTCTGGATCGCCCAGACCTGCTGTCACCAAGTCCTATTTACCACCTTGCTTCGCAGTCGTTGGTTTTAACAGAATGACTGTTGAGGCTCAGCCTCAAGGGAAAGGGGTGCCTTGAAACTGGTGACTCCTACATTCCTTAAGGCAAGAGGGCACTTCTCACAAGGTATACCATCATGAAGAAGAACTTCCACTCTTGCCATTATTTTATCAGTCAGTTGCTTGCTTCTACAGTCGGGGCTGGATAAAAAATTGGCACTACACACCCCGAGGTCAAGTCTCAGCAATGTAAAAGCCAACAACCCACACCATCCTCCAAAAGCCACACTGTGAACTAATCAGGAAAATTCCTTTGGTGGCTCTTAAACATAAGGTGGCTTTTTGTGTGGGAATTACGTCTGCCAGACTGGTTTCAAAGCTGGCCGCCCTGTCCTGTAGGGATCCTTTTTAGTGTTGCACAAGGACAAAATGGTTGTGTCCAAATGCTTCCTTTTTAGCCAAAATGGTGTTAGTTTCCACTTAATAAGGATATTATTTTGCTGTCCCATTACCCTTCTCCTGGGGGTCTAAAAGGAGGCAGTCCTCTGTTGTCTAGAGGTAGTGTGGTCTGTGGGGTTTTTCACTGTGGTAACAGCTTCCATCTAAAAATTGGATTCACTTTTTATTTTGCCAGATGGAGCCGAAAAGGGTTGTTCTGCATTGTGATTCACAAATGCAAGGTGGATTCACCAGATCACTAAGATTCATTCCACTAGATCTGATGGCACAACATCAGGCTTCTGTTGCACAGTATTTGCAAGAGCCACTGCCTGGTCTTCTGTAAATACATTTGCTAAGTTTTACCGAGTTGATGTTCAGGCTTCACCTGATGCCAGTTTCAAATCAGTTTGGCCTTGTTTAGGCCTTTGTTTATAAGGGTCTGTTAGCTTTTCACTGATAAATCTTTTTCTTGGTGTGCAGTACAAGACAACCCCCCCCCCCCCCCCCATGGTTTTTTTTTTGGTCCTTTGTAGCTTGCCACAAAACAGAGTATTACATGGTGAGATTAGTTATATGAGGGAATGTTAAAGCTTTCAGTGACGCTTCCGATCATCTGAAGGTGCACTGTACTGTACTTCAGGTATTTTACAGGCATGCAAAAATACATTTTTCCATGGCTTGGCTGAGTCATTGACCTGCTTTATGAGAAGGAGCAGTCCAAAACAAAAAGCAGAACCTGTTTATGTAAAAATCAGATATGTCTGCCTCCATGCATGTGTGTACACATATACTACATTTAGAAACTACACAAAAATACAAGGTTTTTAATTTATAAAAATATATATTGATGAGATTACACATTCCCTTTAAAGAATCACAAGTAATTTAAGTACCAAAAAAGACTCACTGGAGACTTAGCATCCTGGAAGGGCCCCATCAACATTTCATAATAGAGGAGAGCATGCACTTCTTGAACACATCTTTTTATCATCTAAAATGGATAAAAGCTATGAAAAAATACACATCCCTGTGCACGTTAATACAAGTAGCAGTGCAAAAAGTGGTTGAACATAGAAGCATGGTACACACATGCTAATCCATTCCTGCGAATCATCAGAATATGACAAAGCTCATACGTAAGCAAACGTTTTAAAAGCAGAGGCTGGCAACATATGACTGTGGTTTTATAAGCCGCAGTTCTCCTGGAAGACGGAGCCTTGTACTAAACAAAAGCAGAATAGCCACAGGTGGCCTCAACCATTCCAAGAGCGTAAAAGTTACTACATCCATCATTTTTAAAGCTTGTATCAAGGCCTCGCTTGCACACTAAAGGCACTTTCAGATGGTTTCAGTCACAATTGTGGTTAAGTACTTTGAGCAAGAGTGCTGCAATATGATTATAATATAGAACAAACATCTGCCAGAGAGATTTAGACATCCTTTAGCAATGCCCACTGTTCTTATTAAAACTACTGTCTTCTGTTTAATACAATTAAAAACACACTTTGCATTAGGAATGGAAATGACGGTAATGAGCAGCAATATTATATGAGCTCCAAGATATGTAAACTGCTGGATGGTCTGATTTTGTTCATTGTGCACAAGAACAATTAGCCAATCGGTGTGGAGAAAATGCCAGGTGTGTGGAAAATGTTCCCCTGGTGCAGGACCTTCTGGAAAAATGACTGACTTAGTACTTTTAAAACAATGGTGTTGTGTTGGATGGGAAGTGGCTGACAGCAAAACATGGCATCGATTTCTCTGAAAGCAGCCCTTCCAGAATTAATCACAATATCCGTTTGTTTCATTTGTTTCCAAAAGCCAACACAAAGCTGTTTTTCCCCCAAAATGAAGAAGTTTAAAGTGGTTCTAAACTCTAAAGAGTGTTTCTCAACCCTTTTTTTCAGTCCAGGCACCTTTTAAAGTTATGTACAAATCTCAAGGCACCCCATTTTAGAATGTAAAAAATTTAACTAAGTTTTACATAACAGAGCAGCAACCACACACATAGGACACCCAACGTTAGAGGGGATTTACACCTTTGCACACTGGTACTAACTAGTATTCCAAGGTTTCATTTCTCCCTTAGTTTTTCTGCCTCTCTCAGCTAATGTGACCCCAGTGATGAGGAAGAGGAGGGGAGGGGCAGGCAAGCAAGGATGCTATGCAGGCTCCCGATATCCTCACTGATATCATTGGCTGTTATTATGCCAGTGGTTAAAAGGTTGTAATAGTGCACAATGAATACCTGTGGTTTTGTGTAACTAAAAAGAAGGCCTGATCACCTGCTGCCTTGTATACAGTTTTGGAGCAATTTTAGGCATATTGCCAAGACACCCCTAAAGAAACCTGAAGGGACATTGGTTGCAAAAGGCTGCTCTAAAGGTTTTTATACCATAATGCATTATCTGCATTAAGGTACAAAACCTTCCAAGTGGGAATTTGCAAATTCTGCCATTTTTTTTATTGACCCATTTTCCTCCTTCTAGATATGCAAGTATGATCCTAGATTTAATTTACCAGGTGAATTCTTTTATCACCTGGGAAGACCCCTGCCATTTCAGAAGTTCAGTGCTTTTTGTGCATTTTTTTAGGGGGAACTGAAAAGCTGTTTGGACACCCTGGCTAGAGTAAAAGGAGGGTTATAACCTATGTGGAGGTTTTTTTGTCATCTGTGTCCCATTGGGGAGATTTGCCTTCACTTCCTGTCCCATAGCTAAACAAAAAGCGAGACAAAATCCGGATGAAGAAGAAGAGGATGAAGAAGAAGAGGATGAAGAAGAAGAGGATGAAGAAGAAGAGGAAGAGGAGGAAGAAGAGGAGGAGGAAAAGAGGAGGAGGAAGAAGAAGAAGAGGAACAAGAAGAAGAGGAAACAAGAAGAAGAGGTAGAGGAAGAGGAGGAGGAGGAAGAAGAGGAAGAGGAGGAGGAGGAAGAAGAGGAAGAGGAGGAGGAGGATGAAGAAGAAGAAGAAGGAGGATGAAGAGGAAGATGGAGAAGAGTATGAAGAAGCTGAAGAAGAGGATGAAGAAGATGAAGAAGAGGATGAAGAAGAAGAGGATGAGGAAGAAGAAGAGGATGAGGAAGAAGAAGAGGATGAGAGAGAAGAAGAGGATGAGGAAGAAGAAGAGGATGAGGAAGAAGAAGAGGAGGAGGATGAAGAAGAAGAAGATGAAGAAAGATGAAGAAGGAGAAGAAGGAGAAGAGGATGAAGAAGAAGAAGAAGGGGATGAAGAAGATGAAGAAGAAGGAGAAGAGGATGAAGTAGAAGAAGCAGAAGAAGAAGCAGAGGATGAAGAAGGAGAAGAAGAGGATGAAGAAGAAGAGGATGAAGAAGAAGAAGAGGATGAAGAAGAAGAAGAAGAAGAGGATGAAGAAGAAGAAGAAGAAGAGGATGAAGAAGAAGAGGAAGAAGAAGAAGAAGAAGAGGATGAAGAAAAAGATGAAGAGGAAGATGAAGAAGAGGAAGAAGAAGATGAAGAAGAGGAAGATGAAGAAGAGGAAGAAGAAGATGAAAAAGAGGATGAAGAAGAAGAAGAAGAGGATGAAGAAGAGGATGAAGAAGAAGAGGATGAA